TCAGGGTTTCAGCATTTGGTTTTGTAACTCTTTAGGATTCTTGATTTTTCTTTCTTTCTTTTTTTGGTTGGTTTTTTGGTTTTTCTTTTTTTTAATTCCATATTTTAGGAGTTTTGCTTTTTGGGAATTTAAAGCCATTGGATTGTTGGTATTTGGAACTATAGCCTTCAAATACTGCTCCCCTGGCTGGCAGTATTTGCAGTGGGGCAATGATTCTTCCAATTAAGATTAAGAGCCTTTCATTAAGATCACATTGTCTGGGTCAGAATTTTAGAGCAGAGAGTCCTCTCTAATGTGGGTTCTATTTATTTGTTCTCTCAAATACTGCCAATAAGGTCTGGACTCTGTCCCTCTCGGGGTACATCTGGGAAGCTCCTATTCTCCAAGGCATCACCGCCAGGACAATCACATTGATTTTGTTTTATGGGAAAGGATAAAGTAAGGACACTGTGTCAAGGCACAGTGACTGGTAACTGTCACTCAGTTAAAAAATCACGATAGTGAGAAATCAGAGTGGCTCCCTGTAGTTGTCCTATCCAACCTTTCACAAAGGCAAAGTAAAGGTTCCTTCCTTTGTCACACTATCTGCCGGGGTCACACTTGCTCCAGTGCCAGATAACTCACATTTGTTCACTGTTTTCCAAGTGCAAGGCTAAAACGTACTCTTTGTAACTTTCTTCCATTCGCTCTACTTTGTTCTTAGTAGCTTATTTCCATGAATCTAGTCATTGATTGGTCAGTCGGCCTACCCATTCATTTATTCATTCATATAGGATGCCTACTATACAGTATAATGTGCCAGTCACGAGCCTCAAAGTCCAAGAGTTGACAAGTTATCACAAGGTGCCATGGACTTGGGTAGGGATAAGCCATGCAGTGTGTGGTCACTACCCACGCTGTAAGACTGAAGAGGGAGAACAATGGGAGGGGGTGCTTTCACAGCACCATCAGTGCTATGGTCTGAATGCCAGGCTTCTCCAGCATCTATATGTTGCATCTATAACCATGGAGGTGGTATGTGAAGAGGGCTAGGTCATGTGGACCAGCATCCCTGACTAGGCTGGGCTGTGTGGCCCAAGAGCCCTTGAGATCCACCTATCCCCCTTCCTACCACACTGGGGCTTCACACACATGCAGCTGGCAAGGTGCCCAAGTTCCTGTAAACAACTTCTTACTCATGCTCCTATAAGCAACTCTAGTGAAACTCATTCGGACATTAAAAGCGTAACAGTAGAACGCTTGCTGGGAACAGGAAGGCTTGCTGGGAACAGGAAGGGGATCCATGGGAGGGAGAGGGGGACAAAAGAAGGTAACGGGGTGGGTGTGGATAAGAATAGGATCTGGTCAAGGGGGAACACTTGGCTCTTCCTGGGAAAGGGACATTGAATAGATTTCATTGGTGGACTGCAGGCTGGTGAGAATGGGAATATGAGGAAGCAGATAAGGATAGGGGAATGGAGGAGGAGAGTACCAGAACAGATGACTAGAAAAGGGGACATTTGGGGGTGAGGTAGGAACCTAGTGCAATGGAAATTTCCAGGAATATTCAAGAGTGACCCTAGCTAAGACTCATAGCATAGGGGATACATAACCTGAACTGGCCATCTCCTGTGACCAGGCAAGACTTCAAGTGGGTTAAGTTGGAACCCAACCCAGCAGTGTAACCTTTGACCTACAGTTTGTCCTTTTACAAGATGTGTTGGGGTAAAGGTGGCACAGAAATCTTGGGAGTGGCCAACCACTTGTGGTCCAGCTTGAGACCCACACCCACCCCGCACCCACCCCCCTGACACTGGAGGGTCAGGACACAGAGAATGGATCGCCCAGAGACCTAGGATAGAACCAAATACAACTAGCAAAAAAAAAAAAAAAAAAGTCAATGAAATGATTCCTAATGATATTCTGCTATACTCATAGAGCAGAGCCTAGCCCAATTGTCATCAGAGAAGCTTCATCTAGCAACATATGGAAACAGACGCAGAGACCCACAGCCGAACATTAGGCTGAGTCCTGGGGAATTCTGCAGAAGATGGGGTGGAAAGATTGTAGGAGCCAGAGGGTTCAAGGGCACCAAAAGAAAACATATACAATCATCTAAACTGGGCTCATAGGGACTCACAGAAACTGAGCCAACAACCATGGAGCCTGCATGGGACTGACCTAGACTCTGCATGTAAGCTACAGTTGTGTAGCTTTGTCTTCTTGTGAGACTCCTAACACAGGGAATGGGGGCTGTCTTTGACTCTGTTGCCTGCTTTTGGGACCCTTTCTTCCTACTGGGCTGCCTCATTCTGCCTTAACAGGAGAGGAGGTGTCTAGTCTCACTGTAACTTGACATGCCATGGCTGGTTGATATGTATGAGAGGCCTGCCCCTTTCTGAATAGAAACTGAGGAGGAGTGGATGGGGTAGGGCAGAGAAGAGGTTGGAGAGGACGACCGGGAGGAGAGGAGGGGAGGTAGACTGTGGTTGGGAGGTAAATAATAATTAATAATAATAATTCAATAAAATATCATTTTAAAAAAGAAAGAAGAATAGTATCTGGGAAGATAGCTGAGCCTACTGGCCTGTTACCCAAGCACGAGGATCCAAGTTCAGATCCCAGAAGCAACATGAAAAGCCATGCACCATGGAGCATGTGTGTCATTCCAGTGCTGGAGAGGCAGACGGGAGAGGATCTTTGGGGCCTGCTGGCTAGCCAGTTTAGCCCAATCAGCCAGCTCCAAGGCAATAGGAGAGCCTTTCTTAGAAGAGATGGACAGTACGCCTGAGCATGACATCTGAGGTTGTCCACTAGCCTCCACACACATCTGCACAAACACATTTGCATACACACACACAAATATGCAAGGACACATACATTTTTCAAATACCAGGATGGTATGTACTAAGATATTAATTACTAAGGGTAAGGTTGGAAAGAAACTAAGCAGAGTAAGACTGGGGATTAGGATTCAAGCAATAGAAACACACACACACACACACACACACACACACACACACACACAATTGGGGAAAGTAAATGGAGGCAAAAAGGAAGAAAATGAACCCTCTCTAAAGCTAAACAGAAACTATAAAAGGTTAAAAACCTCAATTATACAATTTGAGAGGCTGAAGCAGGTAGATCCTAAGGCAGGCAGGGAGACCGCAAGGCTAGGTCAATCTGTGGCCTTTCTGCGGCCTTTGGAAAAGCTTTGTGTGTGTGTGTGTGTGTTTGTGTGTGTGTGTGAGAGAGAGAGAGAGAGAGAGACAGAGAGAGACAGAGAGAGACAGAGACAGAGAGACAGAGACAGAGAGAGATATGTATGTGTGTGTGAGAGAGAGAGAGGGAGAGAGAGAGAGAGAGAGAGAGAGAAAAACACAGTGAAACACCAAGATGAAATCAGATGCTGCATAGTGTGCCTCTCTTGGCAGTCACTCGCCAGAGCAGAGTTGCAGAGCCTGCCTCCACACCACCTTGCTTGACCTTCCCTGTCTACCCAAGTTGGTGTCATCCCATGAGAGTGGAACCTCTTTGTGGTGTGATTCCTGTGCTGATCTTTGCATTGCTCATCTATAACCAGAGGGTGCGCTGTGGAGTCCGGGCTGTAGGCTGTAGGCTTTAACTAAAGGTAGCTTTCTGTATCTAGGCACTTGAAAGCAGCTGGCAAGCTTCCCATGGGCATGCTTTAGGCCTCAGCTCCATCTAGCATTTGCTACAGCCTGCTCCATTATTGGGGAAGTTAGCTAGTGTCAATCCAGTCTGTAGCTTAGGCAAGATGTTCCATGTGAACACTGCTGGGTTCTGATTTGCAGGTTTTCACTGTAGTTAGATATATTCTGCAGGCCCACACTGATTACTCTCACAGAAGATGGTAACTTTGTCTGGAATAGTTTTGAGGTGTGTCTAGGATTTTTTTTTGTGCATGCTGTGTGGGTGTGTGCACGTGTGTGTGTGTGTGTGTGTGTGTGTTTACACATGTGTGTAGTTTGTATATAGACATAGAGACTCTGAGGTTTAAAATATAAAACTCTTGTGAGAACTAATCAGTTGGACACCCCATTGCCTGGAATATACAGTACGTGACACCTACTTGCTTCTACCTGCAGTGAGAAATGGAGGCTGTTCTCCTCATCATAGTAAACTAACGCCGTTTAATTTTATGGTGTTAATTACATTGCTATGGTGTGCTTGTGAGAGGCGGTCCTCTTCTCCACTGTCCTGGTCCTGAAGGTTGAATTGAGGTCGCCGAGCTTGGTGGCAAGTGCCCTTATTGACAAGGGGTCATCTCACTGGCCCCTTCTCCTGACACCCAATGCCTTGGAGGGGCTGGAAAGGAGACTCAGTGGAAACATTCTGTAATCTCTAACTTGCCCACTTTCCCCTTTGCTCCAGGGGAAGGAAGGGACTCCCAGGGCGGTGCTTTGGGGTTAGTGGAAAGCGAATGAGCTCAATGGAAGCAAACGTGGGGGACTGGAGAAATATAGATGCATACTCCTGAGATAATGACACTTGGTGTTGATGTCCAAACTAGGAGTACCTTTTCCCTTAGGCAGTGGATGGGCCTAATCTAAAAGCAGCAGGAGCCCGAGAGCGCAGGGGCAGACTCTAGAGCCCTCTGAAGCACAGATCTGTGAGCCTCCAAGGGCAGGCCCTTCCCAGCTGTCTACACCATTGATCATTTACAAACCGGGAGTCACCTCAGTTTCCACCCTATTTCACAGGCTATTATTAAGACTATAGAGGTGGGGATAGTTTCTTTTTTATCAAAACTGAGTCAACGAAGTCAGACTGTCTTATGGTACTAGATGCCAAAAGCGAGTGAACTGCCGGGATCTATTGCCTGGAAAATACCAAGAGTTGTAGACTCCGATAGACAAGGAAAATCAGCATGCTGATGCTCCAAGGTCTTGAGAAAAGATGCTGAATTTTCTCAACAAGGGCTAGCTGGTAGATTAGACAGGAGAGACACCTCCAGCCAGGAGCCTACTCATGGTCTGCTGTTACTTTGATTGACAGGTGTGGCAGCTGTTCCTGATGCCCTGGACCACTCTTCCTCAGCACTAAAAGATGGGGAAGGGGCATGTTACACATCGCTGATTTCTGACATCTGTTACCCACCTCAGGAGGACCCTGCATACTTTACAGGAATTCTTCAGAAGGAAAATGGTCACATCACCACTTCAGAGAGCCCTGAGGAGCTGGGGACCCCTGGACCCTCCTTACAAGAAGTGCCTGGGATGGAGCCACATGGCTTATTGAGTTCTGATTCAGGAATAGAGATGACTCCTGCAGAGTCTGCTGAAGTGAACAAGATCCTAGCTGACCCCCTGGACCAGATGAAAGCAGAAGCTTATAAATACATTGACATAACTAGGCCACAGGAGGCGAAAGGCCAGGAGCAGCCTCACCCTGGGCTAGAAGATAAAGACTTGGACTTTAAAGGCAAGGACACTGAAGTCTCTACAAATCCAGAAGGAGTTAGTGCACTCGACCAACCAGTTCCTGTGGAGGGCAAGGTCATCAAGGACCACTTATTCGAAGAGTCTACCTTTGCCTCTTACATAGATGATCTCTCTGATGAGCAACACAGAGTGCCTCTGGTCTCTGCCCCTGTCAAGATTACACTGACAGAGATCGAACCTGTCGTGACTGCCACACACGAGACGACCCCAGAGAAGCAAGACCTGTGTCTGAAGCCAAGTCCTGACACAGTCCCTACTGTCACCGTCTCTGAGCCTGAAGATGACAGTCCCGGATCTGTCACTCCTCCATCTTCTGGAACAGGTAAAGACATTGGTAATTCTCCACTTTGGGAAACCCCAAGCCTATGGAGGGCTAAAGTCCCAGGGCACGGAGGAACAAAGACTTCCATCCAAAATGCTTGCTTTTGTGATCCCTTTAAATCACTTTCAGTTAACTGGTTTAATTAACACACAGCCCTTTCAGGTCTGTGCCCATTGTTCAGTTTGTGGTCACCCTTAAAGTCCTTTTGGGTTTCCTTTGTAAAGTGTTTCTGTATTTATTTATGTATGACACATTATGAATGACACAGTGAAAACATCAATGGTCTCCCGTAGCCCTGAAACTCAGGGCAGGGAAATGCCACTGCTGTTAGCTCTTCTCCCATGATCCATTGGGCCTCTTGGAGGCATTATGGGGAGAAGACCGTGGTTGGGTGACCTTGTACAGGACACGTAACATGCCTAATACATGCTCTGCCACTGTGATGCAGAATGTGTTGGATTAGGAGGGGCTTAGGCTCCTTTAGGGGTGGTAGAGTCAGGAAAAGGAAAACTCAGAGGGATGATCCTTCTTGCTCCCTTCAATCCCAGAGCCCATTCCTTGGAGGTCTACCTGCAATGGTATATTTGAAACTAAAAAGTGGTTTTGATTAAAACAGGAATCCCTAGAGTCTATGGGGATAGCTCAGTAAGTAAAGGTACCTAGCACCCAGGTAGAAAGAGATGGGTGTGATGGCACATTCTGGGAATCCTAGCACTGGAGAAGCTGAGGCAGGAGGATCTCTGGAGCTGCTGGTCAGCAAGCCCTACTCAACTGGGAGCCAGAGGTCTCAATGAGAAACTTATCTCAGGAAAAAAACAAAACAAAACAAAACAAAACAAGAGGGATGGATTGTAAACAGAGGCAGTGCTTTTGTTTCCCAGGCACCCAGTATCAAAATAATCACATCGAAGTTTAATACTAATTACAAACTGTTTGGCCTATTGGTCCAGTTTATTACTAACTAGCTCTTACAAGTTGAACTAACCCATTCTATTAATCTATGTTTTGCTTTGTGTCTTGTGGCATTACTTGTTCTCTAGTACATATATCTTGTTGCTCCCATGTCTTGCTGGCATCTGTCCCAGACTCTACCCTTCTATCTCCTCTTCTGGCTTTATGCTGCCTTGCTGTATGGCAATTCAGCTTCTTTATTAAACAACAGGAATAAAACATATTCACAGCATAAAGAAGGGTTATCTCACAGCAATGGATGACTTCCAAGGGACACCTGAGGTTGTCCCCTGGCCTCTACACACTACACACACATGCAGAACTTATACACAGAGAGAGAGAGAGACAGAGACAGACAGAGACAGGGAGAGACAGAGGCAGAGAGAGACAAGGTTTAGCGAATGGGCCTGGCCCAGCCCCTGCTTATCTGGCATTCCTAGGAGACCACACTGTGCCAGCTGTTTGTAGCTCTTTATCTACGGGTGGGACCTTTTGAATACCCATCCCATCCTTCTTGGCAGGTAGGTAGGTGTTGCCATTATGTAGGTCTTATTTATGAAGCCATATAGCTGAGATTTAATAGGTGCAGCCTTCCTGTCACATCTAGATGACAGCATCTAACAGTAGGCATCCTGGTCCTCTGGCTGTTACAATGTTTCTGCTGAATCTTTCACGATGTTCCCTAAGCCTTAACAGTAGAGCTTGAAATGTAGACATAATGAGACTTGGACCCCCATGGTAATTCATTCTCTGTATTTTGGACCAGTTGTGGATCTCTGAACAAGCCTCCATCGGCTTCTTTGGAGAAGGGTGAGAGCTACACTTAAATGTGGATGTAAGGATGTGTTTAGAATACAGTTAGGAACTATATTAATTTACGAAGGTGTCAGTGGAAAACTTCTAAGTAGGGTTTATTCAAGAAAAAAAGGCTTGATCTCTAGGGTCTCGGGCCTTTCTAGCCACGAGCAGTTAGCTAGATTTGTAGGCATATATTCCCTTCTATTATGCAGGCCTTAAGTTCAGTTGGATAGCTTTTGGTAAGCTCTGAGACTTAGTGTCACTACCGTAACTCTGGAGGCATTTTCCTGCACTGGTCATTGTTGTGGCTTGTAGCCTTAAAGCTGCAGAGAACTATTGATTGCTGCTCTGCCTTGTCAGTGTGCATAGCACTTGAGAGCTAGTCTTCAGAGAGGCAGCTTCAGGGAGTCCCTGCTCAGTGGCTCTAAGTCTTGGTCAGAAGTATGTGCTAACTCCAGCAATAGGCTCTTCCCTTTTAGGAGGCAAAGTCTTGTGTTTTTGTTTGCTACCAACCTGTCTGGAAGAACAACCCTGGCTGTTAGAGTCACAGGCAGAGTTGCAGAATGCAGGTGTCTGAGCTCCATCCAGACCTTCTGCTAAGTTAGAATTTCTGAGGGCAACCTGAAGCTGTATACTTCAGATATGAACTGTAGTTAAGAACCCTGGGTCTGGGCTGTGGAGTAAAGTGCTTGCTGTGGAAGCATGAGGACCAAAATTCAGAGCCCTAGCACCCAAACAAATGTTGACTGGGTGGTATGTTGGCCTACCCATAATCCCAATGCTTGAGGAATGGAGACAGGGAATTATCAGAATATACTATCTAGGCTAGATGAATTGGCAAGCTCTGGGTTCCAATGAGAAACATAGAGACTGATGCCCAACATCAATCTCTGACCTCTACATGCACCCACATGCATACATGTATGAACATAACATGATGATGATGATAAACTATTGTCCTGACATTTTGAAGTAACTCTCTTGTGAGTATCCTTTCAACCTCCGTGTACCAGGCACTAAAAAATGCCAGAGTACTGACAGTGAATACATAGTCCTTGGCTCTCCTTTCTTTCTGTGACTCTTCAATGGTCACTCAAAGTGGGGTGGAGGATAATGAAGACAGACTCATCACACCATCCTTAAGGCTGCAGCTCTGCAGAAGGAGTAGACACCCACCCATCTTCTGCAGGATGTAGCAGCAGGCCAACTGGCACAGAAATGCTAGATAATAGGAGCTGAGCCAGTCCCACCAGCTCAAGTGATCAGGAGCCTTCACCAGAAGAAAGCAGGAGGAGATGTGCCATAGGATGTAGCACGAAAAATAAAAAGCCCAGAGACAGATATTGGGGTTCAAGCTGAAGATCAGAAAAGCAAAGCAGCCAGCCGCCAGCTCTTAGCTCTACCTCAGCTCAGACCGAACTGCTCCCGACTTCACTGCTCCTCAGACTCAGTCTGCTATGCTCTCCTCAACGTGACTAGAGACTAACTCTCAGACTGAATGCCAGCTCTGAGACCCTGCCCCTGTCTTATATATCCCCCTAATGCTGAGATTAAAGGTGTGTGATCCCAGGTGCTGAGATCGCCTTTGTGTGAGCTGTTTCTTTTTAGGACTGGATCAATTTAGTGTAGTCAGGGTGGCCTTGAACTAACAGAGATACATCTACCTATTAATCCTGAGTCTTCAGATTAAAGGTGTGTGCCTGGGCTTCTATGGCTAACTAGTATGGCTGCTTTGCTATTTTGATCTCCAGTGGCTTCAATAAATCATAGACAATATATCATCACAATAGGAAGGGAAGACACATCCCACTCAAGAGCCCTGCCCACACATCATCCTTTGGACCAGCTCATCATCTGACTTCTATCCTCCTATGCTGTGGAATCCTTGCCCATGGATTCAGCCAGCATCAATCTTTCTGAATGACTGTTAACATCTTTCTCTCGCTTATATAAATAGGACCTTATTTCTCCTTATTTCTCCCTCTTTTCTCTCTCCCCCTCCCTCCCTCCCTCCCTCTCCCTCCCTCCCTCCCTCCCTCTCTCTCTCCAGTGTAGTGAGTCTTTCTGTGTCCCACCAGCCAGTTCCCAAATAATGGCATGGAGACTTATTAACTATGGAAGCTCAGCCTTAGCTTAGGCATATTCATAACTAGCTCTTATAACTTAAATCAACCCATTTCTATTCATCTACATTGTCACATAATGCCTACTCTGCTTCTTCCGTGTTCCCTGGCATCTCTCAAGCACCTAGATTCTCCTCCTCCTCTTCCTCTCTCTCCTTGGAAATCCCGCCTATACCTCCTGCCCAGCTGTTGGCCATTCAGCTTTTTATTACACCAGTCACAGCAATACATCTTCACACGGTGTGCAAATATCCCACAATGCCTCAGTGTTTCTTGAATTTTCTGTTTCCATGCTGTGGTCCCCCAAAGTCATTAAATTGCCCTAATTTTTGCCCTTAGCTACTGCAGATCATTGTTTCCCTCTTGAACTTACTCCAGCATCCACAATACCAATAAGACAATGACTCAAACTGACTTCTGGGGCCAGAGGCCTGCTTACCTTTACAGACACATCACCCAGATCTTTCCCCACAGTACTTCAGCTGCAGTTTTGATGTAACTACTTCCTGCTTGATATGCATACCTTTGCTATGATTAGACTTACTGTGCTCATGGTTTAGCCCATTGTAATTTGGGGTAGTTCATTAGAGGAGATCAAATTCAAGTCTCCATGCATCATCTCATCTTGCTTTTTAAAAATAACATAATTCTATAGCCACTGAAACTGTTCTCTACAATGGGGTTTTTTTGTTTTGTTTTGTTTTGTTTTGTTTTGTTTTTGTGTGTATACTCAGAGTTGTGGTCCATCACCTCATTTTAGAGTATTCTCATTAGCCCCAAAAAAATCTTGGACCTTATTTGGTTACCTTCAAGTTTTCCCATACCTTGAAACCATCAACCTATATTCTATCTTTATGGATTTGATTTGCTTATTCTAAACACTTTATATAAATGAAATATAATAATGCAGTTCATCATGACTTATTTCACTTAGTACACTAACTTGAGGTATGTTTAATCATACATCTGTATCTCCCCCCTTTTTTAAGGCCAAAGAATATTTCACTATAAGGGCATATCACACTTAATTTATCCACTTATTAGCTGATGGTTATTGAGGCTGTTCCAGAGTCATTACTATCCCTGGACCTAGTGGAGCAGGAAAGGATGATTCTGGAAACCCACTAAAAACTAGAGCTTCAGAAGATATGGTGAGTTAGGAGCACTACAACATCTCCCTTCTTCCAAAAGCCAGTGTGGAAAGGATCCTGGACAATTTACAGAACAGGTACAAAGTGATAGGCCTGGACTAAAGTAGGTGGAGAGAGAAACAGGAGTGTAGCACTATTAGTCATTTGCTTAAGCTGTTGTCACAAGGCTGTAAGCTCCATATGTAAAGTGCCCAGCCCCTGCTAGAAGGTGGAGAGCTGTACTGCCACTGTGCTCTGAAGGCACAGACCATGTCTTCATTGACACCCTTGGTCCTTCCCCGACCTCATTAGCTCACTATGAAGTAACTTGATGTAACTTTTATACTGCTATTTTGTTCAGAATTATAGCAAAAAAGTAATCACATGACTTAGAGAGCTTGGAATTATGAAAGTAGTTTGAGATATTACAATAAAACTGTCAAAAACTGGAGACAGTTGTTTTGCTTTTTTGATTTCATTTTTGAGATGAATTTTAATACAATTACATTTCTCCTTTCCCCTTCCTCCCTCAAACTCTCCCATATACCCCTTCCCACCCTCCTTTAAATTCTTGACCTTTTTCATTAATTCTTACTGCATGCATATATATCTACTCACATATATTCTTAAGTATAACCTGTTCAGACCATATAGGGTTAGTTGTATATTTTCAGGAGAAGCAGTTGTTTTAAGACACTTAAAACACAGAGCTGATCATTTCTCTACTCTGATGACTGCTTTTACCACCCGGGTTAGAAACTGCATGAGCTCTGACCCATCCCAGCCTCTCTCTCTTCTATCACACCGCACCCCCTTACAAGTCCTTCCAGCCATTGTGGTTTCTTGAGATCACTGAGGCTCCCACCTCTAGGCCTTTGGAAATTAAGTGTTAAATCTGTGTCTGCCTCTCACAGAGGCCTCATCTGCCCTCCCTATTTAAAGCTGAACCTTCATCCCGGATGTCCAGAGCATCTGATTCCCTTACCTGGCTGCTTTTCTTTCACAGAACTTGCTATCACCTAGCATGCTGTGCATGTTACTTACCTTTACACATACAGTTTGTGTGTTGTGATCCCTTACCATTACATTACAAGCTAGAGTGATGATGTGTAGGGTAAATCTGACCCTGCTTTATAGAACATTAAAAAAAAAACTCTAAAATATTTTATCAGGTTCTCACAGCATCCTAGAGCCGCAGGTGATGTGGTCAGAGCTAACTTGGTCCTCTTGCCTCCCTAGGACCCCACAGTGACCCCAGTGTTTTGCAGGAAGCATTGGATAGTTTTGCCAGTAGGGTCTGAAGATAGCTGTCTAAAATGTCCAGAAGAAAGGCCCTGCTGCTCTAAGGCAAGACAGTAGCAAAAGCCTGAACACTGTTGTCATGGTGATCCCAGCAGCCAAGCTCAGCAGGGTTGTCAGTGTGGTCTCCAGGCCATCTGGAAGAGCATCAGGCAGAAGGCAGACACTTGCCCCAGGGACTGGGGTGACTCTAAGATGATATCTTCTCAAGACCACGTGGGAGGGGACACAATAGTGGGCTGCCACAGCAGCAGTTCCATGGGATGGCAGAGCTGATATTCTTCATGATCCACTGGGGGAAACGGGCAAAACCCTTGAATTTTAGGCTTTAAAAGTAACAACATTCTTACGGAAAATGTAAAGCTCAGAAGTCAAGTCTATCCAAGTTTGTCTTCTCTTATTAACGAAGAAAGCATGAGCAGCCATGGGCGGGAGTTGGGGGGGTAACTTTCTTATTTCTTAATGTTGGTGGACTCAGGGGTATTTGTCCATTTGATTATCTAATGAAATCTGCAAATCTGAGAAACTCCGCCGAGGAATCGAAAATTAAAAGTTCTAGAATCTTTGGTGCATCCAAGCAGCCACGATTCTGTTGCTAAGAAATGACAGGGTCATTTTTTTAAAAAACAGCTGATTGTGATGGATAGGTATGTAAAACACTGATTAATTGGGCCACAACAATAATTAGCCTTAGTTTAGGTGGCCTGTCTTTCCAGCAAAGCCCTGGAAACAGACTATTTCTGTACTAATGAGATGTGTGTTTCTCAAGCGACGACAAAACATCTCCCCTAATGGAATTTTGTTTTATTTCTTTTCTCTCTGTCCATCTGTCTGTCCGTGTGTGTGCTTCTCTGGTTCTCCGTCACTCTGTGGGACGACAGAACCATCTGCTTCAGAGTCCCAGGGGAAAGGCAGTGTCTCCGAGGATGAGTTGATCGCTGCCATTAAAGAAGCAAAGGGGTTGTCATATGAGACCACCGAGAGTTCAAGGCCGGTGGGCCAGGTGACCGACAGACCCAAAGCAAAGGCCAGGTCCGGGCTGCCCACCATCCCCAGCCCCCTGGACCATGAGGCCAGCAGTGCGGAGTCCGGAGACTCGGAAATTGAGCTGGTGTCAGAGGACCCCATGGCCTCCGAGGATGCACTGTCCTCGGGCTATGTGAGCTTTGGCCACGTGTCGGGCCCGCCCCCATCTCCCGCCTCGCCATCCATCCAGTACAGCATCCTGCGGGAGGAGCGCGAGGCCGAGCTAGACAGCGAGCTCATCATCGAGTCCTGCGACGCCTCCTCGGCCTCAGAGGAGAGCCCCAAGCGCGAGCAGGACTCGCCCCCGATGAAGCCAGGCTCCCTGGACGCCATCCGCGAGGAGACCGGCACTCGGGCCCCCGAAGAGCGGGCGCCCAGCCTCCAGGGCCTTGCAGAGCCCAACCCTGTGCTCAGCTTCACCCCCGCTGCCCTCCAATCCCGCCCAGAGCCGTCGTTGGGCGACGGAGCCCCAGCCCCCGAGCCGCCCACGTCACAGCCGCCGAAGCCTAAGGAGGAAGCTGAGAGTTCCAGCCAAAGCACCGCGGCCACTGAGAGCCCTGAGCAGCTTGGTCCCAGCCTCGCGCCTGCTCTGCCCTTCTTCAACAAGCAAAAAGGTAAAGGGGAAGCTTTTCTGGTCCAACCAGGGTTGTCCCTCCAGAATCCTCCCAGGGTGGCCTGAGGTATCTGCAGGGAAGTGAAAGCTGTCCTGATGGGGACACAGCTATAGTGGGGATGGTGGGAGAAAGGAGGCTTCACAATGGGTCAGCCCAAAGTGGCAATGGACCACTGGCCCCACGCCCCAATCACAAATGGTTTTGTGTATTCTGGGGACCTGAACTCTTCCTTCCATTGCTTGGAATCTTCCAGGCTTGTTTCCAGTGTCTACCTATTTAAAGATAGGACGTGGCTAGATCCCTTCATCCCTAAACCTGCCGTTAGCTCAGTTTTGCCTAAATGGACCATGTGGAGGCAGCTCCATTCTTTCTTAAACCCAAGGAACTAGAGATTTGTTTCCGAGTTCTAGATAATCAGAACAGACAGGAATCAAAATTGTTTCCACGGCTTCTCTATCCCTAGCAGCACCTAACATGACTCAATAATCTTTAAAAATTGTTTGTAATTTAGAATTCTTTTACTCTAGTCATTAGGGCCTCCCTCTGAGAAAGTCTTTAAATGAAAGAAGTCAGTATTTTATCATTCAGACTCCGTGGGAATAAAGGACATTCTTCCGCTGTCTGAAGTTGCCCGCCGAACCTGATTGCAGATTCATCTGGCACTTTAGGGCTAAAAGAACCAGGGTGTGTGTGGGGGGGGGGGGGGTAAAGCTCAGCGATTAAGAGCATTGATTGCCTGCCCTTTCAGAGGTCTTGAGTTCAATTCCTAGCAGCCAGGTCGTGACTCACAACCACATGTAATGAGATCTGGTGCCCTCTTCTGGCCTGCAGGGATACATGCAGGCAGAACATTGTATACATAATAAAAATCTTTTAAAACATTAGAAAAAAAAAAAACACCAGATGGATAGATGGAGCACTGTTTACTCCCAAGGCACACCTGCACTCCAGGTCCATTCCTGGCCATCTCTTCTTTTTGTTTCTTTACAGATATTTTGCCCTTTGAAGATAAGTTATTTCAAAGTATACCGTCTTGGCTGTGTCTTTGCTAACCTGAAGTGTTTCATATAAAAACAGAACAAATCTTTCTTATTATAAACTGGAAGCCAACACATGAAACAAAATTATCACATTATGTTGGGATGATTTGGAGAGATGAAATTAAAAGATAACTGTATTACAAGATGGGGTGGGGGTCAAGATAAGTGGATTGCTGTTGTTGTTGTTGTTGCAGTTTGAGGGATCAACCCAGGGCCACTGATTTATTAAGAGCCTGTTGACTCTTGATTATCCAAATAACTATCTCCAGAATTTTAATAACTATCTCCAGAATTTCAAGTGTGCAATAGGAGGATATTTGAACTCAAATGTGTTTGTTTGGTGACTGCTGAAATTAATTTAGATTATTTTGCCACCACTCTGCCTGGGATGGAGAAGAGCCCCGTGGCTTGCATGAGTGCGGGTAGCAGCATGAACAACTGCAGTCTCCTGGGACCTGGAGTCATGCTGCCTGTGTTCATGTCTAGTAACATGTAACAGGCATATCTCCACTTTCGTCCCCAATGTTCCTTAAGCAGCTGCTATGTGCACAATGCTATTCAAACACGTTTTTCTTCAAAAATAAGTGAGTCTGAGGACGGCAGAGAGAGGCGAAATTTGCAGGGCCATTGCTTTCCCTGGGAAATCCCTAACCCTGCACAACAGCCGAGGCTGACTTCCCAGACCTCTGCTGATGACCTGTAAAGCCAGGGTCCTGAATGGAGGGCCTTAGGTGCACTTCAGATCTCCATGCAAGTTCCTCACACTTCTGTTGCCAAATTTACACACTAAAGAGAAGAGAATGGCAGTCTTTTCAAAAGATCCTGGGGGGTGAATAACCTCCGCTCCCTTCTGCACTGCTGAGCCCTTTGAAATCTAGTCCCCCACTGAAATTCACTGCTTAGCCACTGCTCTGCCTGAAAAGGCCACTCTGGAGAAGCCAAGCCTGAGTCCTGGGGGGGCGTGAGTCAGCTTCAGTGGGAGGTGATTTGTGCTTTGAGGCTCCCTCTGGTCTTGGCAGCTCCATTTCAGCAGGTGAAAAGCAAACTCGCTGCTAAGCTTGCCTAGGCTGTTCTTAATGATCATGGCTAGCCAGGAGGTTGGTGCTCAGGCCAAGCATGAGTGCCCTTGAACTGTAGGGTCACCTGTAGTTTCCTGCCCATGTCCAGCGAAGCATCAGTGGTACAAGTATTCCGGTTTGTGCCTCGCAGGTAGGCTTCCCCCTCCCTCCAGCTTTGGAGCCTTCTGACTGACGCTGCTCTACATTTCAGGATTTGAAAGCATTTAGAAAAAGACTCAGCTGACTGATGGTGTCGCGGTGTGTGAGACAGGGGCACCAGGCTTAGCGGAACCCGGCCTGTGATTTGGAACTTTGTCATCTTGCAGTTATGGAGCTGGAGATAAAATATTGTTCTTTGCTTGTCTTATTATCCCTCCTGTGCAGGCCTGCCCTCCCAGTACTCTCCCTCTATACCTCCAGAACACTCTGTTAGTGCCCTCACACTCAAAAGGGGGAGATCCATTTCTGCAAGGTCACCTCAACTCTCAGGAATGTGCAAATGAAGGGCTAATTTTAAAATTCCTCAATAAAGCATTTAACACTCAAAGTGACTCATCAGGATAGGTGAGTTCTGGACTATGGCAGTTAGCTGTCAAAGTGTCAAAGTCCCACCTAAGGCTGTTCTGAAAATCAAAGGACTCACTCCTTGCCAAACCCATAGCCTCTTTTCTGTCTATTTTTTTCTTGTTCTCTCTGGTAATTTAGTGGTATAGTCCTGATCAATCTTTAAGATATAGTAAAACCTGCTTTCATTAAAAAAAAAAAAAAAAAAAAAAAAGGAAATAAATCAGAAAACAAAACACCAAAACCTGGTTAAGGGGCCACAACGATGACTCAGCAGTTAAAAGCACTTACTGTTCAGTTCCCAGCCAGCACCCAAGTTGGATGGCTTACAAGCCCCTGTAACTCCAGCTTCAGGGGTTCTAATGCCCTCTTCTGGCCTCTAAGGGCATTGTAGTCACAAGCACACACCCACACATATACACATAATTTAAAAACTAAAGTTATAAAAAGTAAATAAAATATTGACTAAGAAAGCAGTGAGTAATTTTATATGGATTTTTATTATTCGAATGATGTAATATTACAAGTATTGTTAAGTTTAATTAATTATTTTTATTTTTTCTGACACAGGGTGTCACCAACTCCCTCTCAGAGATTTTTCTTCTCTGATTGAACTCAAGTTTCTCCCTCCTGGGTCACATCTTACTAGCCAACCTCTTTCCAATCTCTTGTGGCTGATGTGTTCCAGAGTCCTTGCCTATTTTCCTTCTTCAGGTCCTCAGGGCTAACCTCTCCTCGGCTAATGCATTTTCTGTGCTGAGTACTCAGTCTCTTGCTTTGGAGACATCATCCCTTTTCAGCTCCAAGTGCATTTCCTCACTGTGGTTGGACAACTTGTAGACTTCCTGAATTCGATACATCTATATTATTTGTCAGAATCTTCTCTTTCCTTCTTTCCCTTTGGGAGAAAATGAAGTGATGTTACTTGAGTTCCACTCACCTTCCCCAACCCCCGTGATTATAACTCTCTTATTTGAAACTTGCTTAGGGCTGGGGTTGCAGCATATTGGAAGAGAGCTTGTCAAACACTTATAAGGCCCTGGGTTCTATTCAGTCCTACCAAAGCCAAGACTTTAGGAGGACACTCTGATAATAGCTGTTGCAGTCTTAAATAGCCATACCCTTTGATACTGTAAAGACTTTATCCTCTGAAATCCTACAACAGGCAGGTGTGTGTGTGTGTTATAAAAATACATATTAGATACATGTGAAAGTATGTTTTATTTATCAAGCTATACATATGAGTATCCTTTACATAGCGTAGTTGAGAATAATAAAAGTCTTGAGAGGAACATTCCATGGATAGGGTTATGAGCATACAGTGGGTTTCAAGGGGTTCATGTAAAGGCATTGTTGAGTCTGCATCTGAGTAGTGAATCTAAAAGCACTTGGTGCCGACCCTGTTGTAAACACTTTTGCGTCTGCAGCAGTGTTTGTCTATAAAACTATCTCTGAAATGATCCAGAATGCCCTTGATACCTAAAACACCACTAAAATGAGCATACATATGGAATTAAAACCAGTACACCGAGGGGCTGGAGAGATGGCTCAGAGGTGAAGAGCACCGACTGCTCTTCCAGAGGACCTGAGTTCAATTCCCAGCAATCACATGGTGGCTCACAACCACCTACAATAGGATCTGATTCCCTCTTCTGGCATGCAGGCACACAGGAAATACAAATAAACTTAGGAAAAAGTACACTGAAGCTTGAGAATTGCTTCTGTAGCCTGGTGAGCTGAGCAGTGGGCAGTACTCTCAACAAGGATGTCTCAGCACATGTTTTTAGAGCTGCATCTGATTTCACCTCCCCTGGCTCCTGTCCCCTGGGGGCAGACCTCTGTAACCCCTTCCTCTCTGTGAGACCAGCTGTATAGCTTGAGTTTGGAAGCAAACTGTGGCAGGAGAAAGTTTGTGTGTTCCTTGGGGTGGAGTTTACAGGAAGGCTAGAAGATGGGGAGTCTTGTGATATAGACTAGATTTTCACCTGCTGGGTGTCTATGGGGCTTTTGTTGTCACTTTTCAGTATTGCACAACAGTGTGTTTGTGTCTCTTGGCAGAGAACCCAAATCAGCATGTCCTGTTTGCTTTTCTTCTTGTAGTTCTAAAACTAACAAAGTCATTACACGTATTTGCTTCTGCGCAATTACATTGATAAATCAGGCCCTAGAGATTCTTGGGAAGTCTCTTCCTTTCACAGCAGAAATTTCAGCATCACCCTGAGGCCCTGACATGCATCCACTACAGCGGCTGCTCTGTGTCAGTTTTCATCAAGATGGACCAGTGATTGTCTGATACAGTCTGCCTCTTGTGTCAGTGTGGGTCATTGTATCAGTCAGG